ACTGGCTGCTGATGGTGAGTATTATTATGCCTGGCCTCTTCAGGCTGGCTACTGATGGTGAGTATTATTATGCTAGCCTCTCCAGGATGGCTGCTAATGATGAGTATTATTATGCCAACCTCTCCAGGCTGGCTACTGATGGTGAGTATTATTATGCCGGCCTCTCCAGGCTGGTTGTTGATAGTCTCATTTGATTGCCCCTTTTGTTTGGCGAGGACGTCTGATGAAGACGAGGATTGCTCGTAGGCAGTGCCCTTGTGCTAGTGGGCAATAAATGGGTGACATGGATTCTAGCGTTGCTCTTGCCATGTGAGTATTGTGATGCCTCTCCATGCGCCTGCTTGTGATATAATTTTTTTTTTTGAATTTCATTTTTGTTTAGCTTCAGATTTTTCATGTTTGAAGCTTGCCTTTTTCTGCTATTTTTTTAAATGCTTCGGCTTTTTCAAAATTCACAAAGCTTTCCTTTTTTTGTTTTATCTTGTGTTGTTATCATTGGTGGAGGGATCCCATCCTATGATAATGTTATTTGCTGAATCTTTATTAATGAGTGTTATTTCAGAAGCCACTCCTGGCTTTGGTGAGGAAACCATTCCTTGTTTTGGCATTCTCTTGGATCATCTTTCATTTGGTGAAGAAGTAAGGCGTGATGGCCTCTTCATGCTTATAGGCTTGATTGTTCTTCCTCGTTCGTTTCTATCCCATCTTGCTGTTGATGTGTCTTTCTTTTCTTGGTGGCTATATGAAACCACTTGTATGGAATGCCCTTATTGGGGCTAGGCTCTTTGACATGATCTTGGATTTTAAGGCACTGTCCTGGCAGGAAACCCACTAAGGGGGCTGCGCAAAAATTAGGGCAAGGTCCGCTAGGAGACTCACAAACAAAAAGGGTAGCCTAGGCAAAAGTAAGGATCAAAAGAAAATGTCCGCTAGGGAACACATCTCAAGTAAGCTAGGCAAAAGTTAGGACAAAGCAGCATCCCGAGCTGAAAATCGAAAGACGGCTCGGGAAGATCATTTATTCAATATGCAATCCCAAATCATCGCTTAACTTTGAAGGAAATAATGAGCTAATGCAGAAAATGATTTCCTCACTTTGAATGTGCTTGGTCATCAGCCTAAACCACTAACCTACCTCGGTGAGCCATTCTTCTAAAAACCATTTTTGAAAAAATCATTTCTAACAAAACTTCTGCAAAAAAAAAATATATGTATATATCCCCTTCCTCTCTTTCCTCTTGACCTATATGGCATTAAGATAAATTTGAGAGATACACGGAATATGCACAGTGAACACTCACAAGAAAAAGTTAGAGGTGTCCTAAAGCAAAGTCTAGGTACACATGATCTAAGGGCTAGCGTATCATATCCGATACAGGTGAGAGGGCTAAACTACATAAACCTCGGGTTCAAGAAGCAACACTTGGAACGAATTCGACACGGCTAAAGGCTAAAAATCCATGACATTGATCAATGCGCATAGATTAATTTCTTGAAAGTAAAATCAATATGCATTTAAGCATTAGCGTAGAGGCATCATTGCATAGGATGCATATGGCACAAGTGTGCACAAAAGGGTATAAATTCACTAAAAAAAATGAAAAAAATGAAGAAATCCAAGAGACAAACACTCACCCCCAGCCATTCTTAATGTTACATATGCCACGCACCATAGGCACCAAGGCTATGGGAATGCAACTGTGCCATGTTCAATAGCCATGCGAAAAAAGTTTTAGTGAAAGTGACCTTCAGATGTGTGTTCAAGAAAGAAAAGATGTGAATATGCATGTTATGCATCATACCTCTTAGAATATTGAAAGCATGTATACTCGTCATGGAGAGTCTAAACTTTTAGACCAGGTTGCTGAGAAATTATCTAACAAGAGGAAGCAATTCAGAGAGTTGTACGATAAACTGTAATAAATTTAGTAATTTATAAAAAAAACAAATTAAGACTTTTATATACCTTATACACTAGTGACTCATAAATAACTTCAGGCAGATAGGCCAAGGTTGTACCACTGTCAATTATTGTCCCTTTTCTATCCCCCTGTGCTGATGTGTCTATTGATAGACTAAGAAAAGTATGGCCAACTTGAACTGCTGTCATATTGACATTGTAGTGTGGCCTAAAACACATTTTCAAATGTCATTTTCTCAAAATATGGATTTTTGTAAACCAACATCTGAATAGAAGAGAGATTATAAGCATCAAAGTTATTAAGATCCCATACTAGTTATATATGGCCTACTGGCCTGTATACTACTATGATGACTTGAGCAAGCTTTCAAGGTTGATTCAACCACAGACTGATGTCAATTCTAATTAAAGTAAACAAAACCAATTGTACATAAAGAAATTGACCAACATCCAGCATATAGAAGCATCAAGCGTGGATGTGAACATTTAACAAAGATATCTTCTCATTTAGAATGAAGGGGAAGAAAGTACTAATTTTTAAGGTTGAAGACCACCAAAAACAATGAAACCTAACTTCCTCTTGCACCATCAGGAAATCCTACTACCAGCTTCAACTAGCATGAGATTCATTTTACATTCCAATTACTGTTATACTCAGGACACATTTAGCTTCAAAGAATTAGAAATATGTGACACTCAATAATAGAAGCTGTTGAGAACCCCCAAGAACTATAGATAAGGCTAAAGTAGAGCTAGTTTTAGGGCAATCCTCACCTCATGAGCTAGAATTCATTTCAGCAAAGTTTGAAAAGAATAAAGGCAGGTAGCATCAAGCTCATCAAAAGATAAAATGCAATTCCATCTTACTGTTAGAGAAAACGAGAGAAAATGACTAAAATTGTTAGAGAAATATTAAATAAAAGAGATATAACCGTTCTCACTGAGTTCACGTAGCGCCGCCGCCAACGGCAGTAGCACAGTGCCCACAGCCTCCTCACTCCCAACAGCACTCTTAACCTCTGAATTCAGCCAGAAAATCAAAGGCATCCAACTTCCTAAAACCACACAAGAACCAAACAGTAAAACACTAAAAATTCTAACCAAGAGCTTACCTATCAATTCGGGTCAAGATATTCTCAAAAGACATAACCACCACTGGAATCTCCCTAAATACAGACGACTCCTGCAGAGATTAACAGAAGAAAAAAAATTAAAATCAAGGAGAAAATGGGGAAAACCCACTACTATTAAATCAGAAAAACACTAACAATTCTCCCTTCTCTCTTCCATTCATCTACCACAACAAATTAAATTTAAAATAAAAAATAAAAAATCTGATTTCTCACCTTTATCTTCTTGAGTAATTCATATCCAGTCATCCCTGGCATAGAATAGTCTGTCATAATCAAATTAACCTCCACACCCTATCACCACAGAAATCACACAACAACATAAGCATCACTTCCAAGTGCCAAGTAAAAACCCCAAATTATTAAACAACCCAAAATCCAAATTTTCCTACATCAAAACCAATGGAGCTCTTATCTCCATCCAACCCCATATACTGTAGAGCCATGCTCCCACTCTCCACCACCGTCACTGCCAAAACCAAAAACCCATTTCCAAAAACCATCAAAACCCGATCCAGGTGCAAGAGAAAACACCAAAATTTTCCACCTTTAGTTACATACCTTTACAAGACGAGATTTTTAGCAAGCGTTCAATGACCTTGCGGTCGATGTGGCTGTCATCAACCGCGAGCACGTGCAACTTTCTGGCGCCCATTTCCGGCATGAGAAGATCAGCAGCGGCAACCATGTTCCCTCGGTTGAATGAAGAAAGAAAAGGGGTGTGAGAAAAATGGGAGAAAAAATGGGATTCGTGTAGCGTTAGGAAATCGGGGACGGTGATGCGGTGGTTGAAGGAAGTGGTTGGAGTGGTGTTGGACGAGGAGAGTCTATCGAGCGTGGTGGAGTCGATACGCACTTGAGCGCAGGACGTGGCGATGGCGAAGACGGAGGAGGAAGAGAGCGAAGAGGCCTTGGCCCCGAGTATGCTTTAACCTAGCGTGTTCGCGGGGCACGTATGAGAGGTTCACTTCTACATCGGTCATAAGCAAAATCGATGTAGAATAACTTCCTGATTCCATTTCTACATCGATCAATCATAAAACCAATGTAGAATTGCTCATATTTACATCGTTTCTCCTCCCAACCGATGTAAATATGTTTGCATTTTCTATTTATTTACAAGTTTGCAACCGCGTTTATGATTTACATCGGTTATACTAAAATTGATGTAAATATAGCGATGTTAAACAGTATTTTTGTAGTAGTGCCCCATTATAGGGATCCAGTACCTCTGTCACTATCACCTGGCAAATTTTAAGGTTTGACACAATATTTTGAGCTAGAGTAATCGGTTATCACCTTCAGTGTGATTTTCGACAAGACCTATAGGCTCAAGGCCATTCTTGGGTCGATCATACGTCAACCATTCCCTATGGTTTTTATGCTCATGCCCCCTGGTGTAGGGGGAACTATTGTGTGCAAAGGTTTATGTACAGTTGTTTATTTCAAACAAGTGCAAAATTTAAATAAACATGCAAATATCAAAGCCAAACAAATAAATATTTACATGTAAAACAAGCAAGGTAAAGGGGGAAACAATGTTTGAACTATTATTTTTATATTACTAATTTCATCATTCATTCGGCTTGACCCTCTTAAAGTTTCCCTAGTGGAGTCGCCATCTATCAAAGCCCGAAAAATTCTGATCCTGTCCACAGATGGTTTAAACTTCCATTTTGAAAATCTCATCGGTTAGGGAATGCTCAGAAACCAAACTAATCACTGATCAATGTTTTTTTTTTAAAAGGTTCGAAGGAGTCACCATCGATATTTTGAGTAAAATATCAGAAAAAGAAAAGATTTTTGAAAAGTCAATTATGGCCTTTATAACTAGAATTGGGTTCGGGGGTCATTTACGTGTAAAAGAGGTTTTAGGCACCTTACAATGCCCTAAATCGGTACCTTATGATGAAATTAGCATGATAAAGAATAAAAATTTGAATACCTTATTCCCCTTTTTGGTTATTTACATGTTACTTTTACATTATAATTGCATGTGAAGATGGGGGATTTAAGCCCCTAAACATTTAGAATAGTATGTCTACAAGATTGCTTATTTATTTATAGTGATTATTTATATAAAGCAATGATAGGGAGAGAAAGAGAGAGAGAGAGAGTTAATAGTAATACCTCCGAAACAGGCTTTATATAATTCTTCTTCAAATGTGGGGATTAGGTGCTTTTTGGCAGCCTTTTACTCTATAAAAATCCTCACAACACTCAAGAAATACAAGGAGACAGAGAAGGGAAGTGTTTGTAAACTAGAACTAATAAAAATAACAACTTTTTTTTCTTCTGAATCTTCAATCCCCTTGCACTATGCATGAGGACACCTATTTATATAGGTGTCAAACTCAACTAGAACAACTGTTTTTGTGAGTAGAACGGATCGTTCCAAATTAGTTTGTTATGACAAAATTTTGAATTTGGAATGGCCCATTTCAAAATTGAAACAACCCATTCCAAACTACTATTTTGTTCATAACAACCTGGGTCAAATGGTCCATTTCGGATTGGGAATAGCTCATTTTGACCTAGAGATTTTAGGCTTTTTTGGTGGTTTGGAACGGCTTGGTTCAAGTTCCTAATTTGGCCCTTTTAAGCTTTTGGGCCTTTTAATGTTATTCTGGTTTATTCTGATGTGATATTGGACCTTCAAGGACCTCTTGTCTTATTTTAGTAGTCCCTTGTCTTGCTTGAATGTTCCGAACGAAATTGGTGTCTACATCGTTTAGATAAATATATTTTATTTATGCATTGTTTGGTTCAATGAATCTTAAGATGAAAGAAATAGAAAAGAAAGGTACAAGATACATAAGACCTTTATATAGTTTGAATAGAAAAAAAATTAGAAAATAAGGAAAAATAATTGTGGGACCTACTTTAAAATAAATTCTTCTCCCCAAAGAAAACTGATGAAATTATAAAAGTAATCTTTTTGTATTTTTCAATTGGAAATTGTTACCGAGATAGTAATATGGGTCAATGTAATTCGTGAGAAACAGTCATTAATTATGATGGTTTACAAATTTTCTCTTGTATAAAATATTTTGTTTCGATTTTTAGAAAAATATTATATTAAAAATACATTCATTGTACTATGTATTTAGGTTAAATACTACTGTAGAGTCCGTGCCATGCACGAGAGAATATTTTAACAACATTAATGTTGTTAAGAACTAGTTATCAGGACTAATATCCTACCATTTATTCTCTCATTATTATGATGTAATTTCCTGTTTTACATTGTAATCTTTTTCTTTAAATCATATTGATTGCCTCATACAAATAGTGGTGAGATTTATCACATCTTACATGGTATCAGGTTACGGGCTAGACAGTGCCTTAAAATCCAAGATCATGTCAAAGAGCCTAGCCCCAATAAGGGCATTCCATACAAGTGGTTTCATATAGCCACCAAGAAAAGAAAGACACATCAACAGCAAGATGGGATAGAAACACAAACACACAGCAAACATTATATCAGGCCTACTAGCTGTCAAATATAAAAGTGATCCAATGATACCTCTATATTTTGAGTTGTCAAAAGCTATCTCTTTCTAATCCAAGTCAAGATTGCATGTGTTTGATATTGGTGTTGTAGCCTCATTACACCCTTCCATACCAAACTTCTTCAACAGTTCATTGCAATACTTGCTTTGAGTTATAAAGATTCCATCACTCGTTTGTTTGATTTGTAACCCCAAAAAGAATGTAAACAAGGTTCAGACAAAATTGGGTGTCTATAATAGTCACTATAGATGAAAGGGTTAAACAAGGTCTGAAGAGCAAGAAGATAAGGAAGGTCCCGATAAGCCATGACCCCAAGAAGAACTATCGAAAAAAGACAACCAATTTCGTTAAAGGTCTAGAGAACTTAAAGGGACATAAAATCTACCAATAATTGCATTAGTCGAATTAACATACTACAGACACCCAATTTCATCTGGGGGTATCCAAAATAAGGCAAGAAGACTTTGAAGGTCTAATATGACACTTAAATAGACCTAAACAACATCAAGAGGCCCAAAAGCACAATGGGATGAAATAGGAGCTCGGAACGGGCCATTCCCAAATTGGGATGGGTCATTCCAAATCATCAAAAAGGCCTAAAAAGCCTAAGTCAAAATGGGTTATTCCAAATCCAGAATGGGCCATTTTGACCTAGGTTGTTATGAGCAAAATTGGAACAGGCCATTCCGATTTCGAAATGGACCATTCTAAATTCAAATTTTGGCCATAACAAACTAATCTGGAATGGGTCGTTCTGGTGATCAGAACGACCAATCTAATTAGATCTAAGGCCTATAAATAGATGCCTCGTGCAGAGTGCAAAGGGACAAAAGTTGGACTTGAAATCTTGCTTATTTTAGACTATATAGCTTAGAAATTCTTTCTCTCAATCCTTTTTGTATTTCTTGAGTTTATGAGGATATTTGTTAGTGAGAAAGGCTGCCAAAATGCTCCTACAAATTGCCATTGAAGGATTTTTATAAAGCTTACTTTGAAGGTATTTTCATTAAATTCTTCCCTTCTTCTTTATCATTTTTATTCATATTATATTGCCATAACTAAAAGAAATCATGTAGATATATTAGTCTTGAATGTGTAAAATCGATATGTAAATAATCATTAATAAAGGGGATTAAATATTCAAATTGTTATTCTTTATTATGCTAATTTCATCATAGGATATCAACTTAGGGCGATGCTTAATACCTTCCCTAC